TAAGTCTTATTAAATTACGAACTTTTATAAAATTAAATTAATATACGCTTTAGTGTTAAGTAGAGTAACGAGTTACCTCTATTTACTTTAAAGCTTTATTTACTCCTTCGTAAAAATAGAAGAAATTACCTCTATTAATTATTATTCTTATCTCGCTTTTAAGACGATTATAAGGCCGAATCTTTTTTTATTAATACTACGCCGATATAAATTATAAACGATTTATCGAGGTCTAGATACTTAGATATCTAATAACCCTATTTTCTATAATAAAAATAATTATTCTTTTTATAGTTAGAGTTAAAGAATTCGACTTTACGCTTTACGTTATCGTCTTAAATACGCGCTATATAAGCGCCGCCGTTTAAAGTCGATTTAAGCTTCAAAATTCGATTCTTTAAAGGCTTATTCTTAGCGAATTCCCTCGAAAACTTTAAATAAAAACCGCCGCCGAAGCGTATATATTCTAAAATCTTTTTCTATATAATAGTTTAAGTAAGAATTTCTTTTTATTATTTCGATATATTATTAATATTTAGAATCTTATTCTTAAGCTTTAATTTAAGCTTAATTAAGAAGAAATTAGTTTAATATTTCTTAGAAAATAGGGTTATATAGGCCTCTAGCTTCTTTAGATAAGCTTTAAAAATAGATATCTTCTAATCGAAGCGTTATTTAATCTTCTTTTACTTTTCGTAGATAAGAAGATAGCGATTTACTAGATCTATCACTAAATTAAACAAAAATTACTTAAAGAATTTAAAAGTTATATCCCCTAAATTATAGATTTAATAATATCTATATTATTAAATATTAAAATTATCTTCTAAGAATTATATATAATAAATAATTTTTAATTAATTAATAGTAAAATATTTAGAACTTATAAAGAACTTAATTTCGACTTCGCGGAATTAGCGTAGATACTCTTTTTTATTAATACTCTTATAAAAACGTATTCTTTTAAGACGAAGTATTTTCGTTTTAATTAATATATTCGCTAGAGATATAATAATAATCGATATAGATAGGCCCTTACTAACTATAGACGATAAGCTAATATTATAAAGTTTACGATTATAAGCCTTTAACGTAGCTAATTTATATTCTTATTTTAAATAACGATTTTCGATCTTAACGACTATAAAACGTTATTTTATAGTAAGATCTTCTACTAATAAGAAATTCTCGAACTCATTATCGACGCTATAGCGGCTCTCGATATTACCTTCGTTTTCTATTACACGACTTAGAGATAAACTTGATATTATAACGATAATAAGTCTTTTTCTTTAAAAGATAGAGAGATTAGAATTATAAGAGCGTAGTCTACTAACGATTAGTTAGCGAATATAGATTATAAAAGATATAGTATCGTTATAGAGTTTAATAGTATATTTAATAATAGAACTAATCTCTAAGAAATACTAAAACTCCGAGGTATATAAAGTAGATCTATATTCGCTAAGCCCCTAAGCAAATAAGGCATATTATTAAAACTAGACCCTAAAAGGGACTCTAACGTAGAATATGCGATGTCGGCGCCTTGGCGTAAGTAGCGCTAAGGTTCATAACGCATTAGGTCTAACATTAATAAAGAAGAAAAGTAAGAGATTAATAAGATATTAGATAAAAGAGTTTATAAGAATAAGACTAAATATCTTATTAATTAAAAAAACTTTTTATTTTATAAAGCTTTATAAAAATTAATAAAGTATCTTAAAAATATTAAAGGCGTAATTAAGAACTTCGAGTAAATAAAGAAATTATATAAATTAATATTTAAGATAAAGCTAAAGATATAATCGTTAAGAGGAATTAAGAAGTAAAAAAGATTATAAAAGTAATAATAATAGAGAAGCTTTAAAGAATAAATAAGTTATAATTAAAAGACTTAATAAAAATAGCTAAAATATTTATAAATCGATTCTAAGGCGTTAAGACGCTATATATAATAAGAAAAATAGCTATTAAAATTATATATATAATTATTATTATTTAATATTAATTTATTTATTATCTTATATTAGAAAGTAATTATTTATTTAGAAGATTTATTAGATAATAAGAAGAATCTAGTAGAGAGAGTAGTAAGAGAAATAATTAAAGAAGAGATAAGAATAGCGATATTATATCGAAGTTTCTTAACGCGATTAATCGCTATATATATTAACTATATACTCTAATATATATTAATAAGATTTATATTAATTTAATAATAAAGAGTAATATAAATATTCTTATTAATATAAATTATAGCGAGAATATTTATTTAATAAATAGAGATTAAGTTTATAATATATATATAATCCTCGCGAAAGTATCGCTTATATTTACGCTAGCGTAAATTAATAGAAAGTATAATATATATTATATAAGAGTTATATATAAGAGTATATATATAATAATAATAAAAGAAAATTAATATATATAAAAGAATAAGATAGAACTAAGCTTGAAAATCTTAAATTTATATATATAGTTAATTATAAATTCGAATTCGCTACGCTTTTTAATTAGATCGACTAACTTATCGCGGGTAAATAAATTAGCGTCCGTAACTATTAAAATCTCGCCCTCTTACGCCTCCCTTATTAAAAAAATAGATATATATTATTAATATATAGAATAACTTTTTTGTTTTCTACTAAAATTTTGAATTTTTTTTTTAAATTTTAAAGCGCTGTTTGCGCTTTCCGAATTTTTAAGAATTTTGAAATTTAGTCTTATAATTATTAAAGCGCAAGGAATTCAAATATCGCTTATTAAAGTTCGCTTACCTACTTACTCGATAGCCCTAATTAAAAAAATAACTATAAATTTAATTTATAGGCCTTTACTCGTATATATTAATATAATCTCTTAATTATCTAATATTTCTTCTATTTATAAATAGCGTTTAAAGTAATAACGAAGAAAGTAATAATAGAGAAAGTAGCGATAAAAGAGGTTAATAGTCTTCTTAATTAAGTATATCTTTAAAATAAATATAAATATTTATTAATAATAGCGCGAGGCGTAGGAATTATAACGGCTATAAGTATTTAATAATTTATAAGACTATAAGAGTAAAGATTTAATATTATTATTAATATATTAATATACTTCTTATACTATTTATAAAGTATTATAAAGTATTCTTCGAGATACTTATTATATATAAAGTTAATCTAAATAATTATAATCTTATTTAATTATTATTTTAATTAATATATATATTATACTATTATAATAATATATAGCTTATTATTACGATATTATAATAAGAATAAATAAAGATAAAATAGTAGATATAAAGAAGAATTAAGTATTTACTTATAATAGCGTTAACGTTAATATTATTACTAAAAAGAATAAAAATTAAATTAAAAATAAATCTTTTATATTTATTAACGCGATTTTTAACGATTATTATAATAGAATTATTATAATTATAAAGTAATAATATAATAATAGTATATAATAATAGCGATAATAATATATCGTAATAGAGTAATACTATACTTATATTTTATTAATTAAAATAATAATATATATAATAATACTATCGCGATTTAATATATAAATATAATAATATATTTAAAAAGATCTTAGAATATATAATATAAATACGCTATTATAGTATATATTAGTTTAAACTACATTTAAGCTAATAATAAATAATATAAATAATATTAATAAGTTTATATATATTTAATTATAAGACGTAATAATAATAAGATTTAGAAATTAAATCTTCTAAGAGAAGATATAATTATAAGAGTAAAAGTACTCGAAGCGAATTAATAGACTCGCTTATATTATTTATTAGACTATAAGCTATATAGCTAGAGCGAGTATTTAATATATTTAATAAAGTCTTAAATATCTACGAGTTTTCTTTTCTCTTCTTCTTTTTTTAGTTATTAGTTTATCTAGTAATTAATCTATCTATTCTATTAACTATATATTTAAATTTTATAATTATATAGCTACTACGTAGTTCTATTAAAAGAGATCTTACTATCTTATAATTATATCTTTTCGATTATTAAAAAGAAGTTTAAAAGTCTATTTAAAAGTTTAGAATTTATTAATAGAGATTTAATAAATTCTAAGTATATATAAGTAAATTTAGATTATAAGTTAAAATAAACTATATACTTATAATATAAACTCTCTTATAATTATAAGAAATTAAATATTAATTTTTTTTTTAAAAATTATTAAGATATTTAATAGATTTAAAGTTATAATTATATATCGAGAGATTAATTACTAGTTAGATAATTTATAATATCTTAAATAAATAAATATTTTACTATATTATAGGGTCTAAATAGAATATCGAATACTACTTAGATATATATGTTGCCAGAATCAAAATAGGCTATATCTATATCCAGGGCAGGGACACCTACTATGCCAGGCCTACAGATGGCGACAATGGTACCGTAGTATTGGCTATTATGATAGAATGGTAGTAGGCCATTTGAATGAGTGGTACAGAGGTGCACGAAAGTCCTGTATCTGCCAAGACTCTTACGCTTAAACTTCGGATAATGCTCTATCAAAGGGCTACCTGGATAATACGTTTAAAGTTCTTCGGAATCGCATCTAACCTAGCCAGGTTTCGGGGCTTAATATCTCTATTAAGTTAAAAGAAGTATCTAAAATTTTATCCATACGCTATAAGAAGATATTTCTAGGCTTCCCCTCTATAGGGCCGCTTCCGAAAGTAGGGTTAGGGACTAGTGCGGGTGCAGGACTTTCGGTGCAGACCTCTGTAGTGGTAGCTATCTATGTCGGATTTATCGGATTTAAGAGCGTGCAAATGGGGGTAACGTGTAAATAGGGGTGGAAACGATTATGGTATCTCAACTGCAATGATGTGGATCGCCATTCGCCTGGGCAAGACACCTACCGCGCTGCAACATTCGGACCACCTTTGACACGAGCTAACAATAAGGAAAGGGATACGTGCGCATACCTGCACTCACTTGCAAACAAAGTCAACAACAATGACCAAGCGAAAGACTGAGGAAGAAAAGACGGCCGTTAAAGCCAAGCGAACAAGAAGAGTTCCCTTCACCGCACCAAAAGATGTAGCCACAAAGGCACTGTATGCGAAAACCTCCATGCATCTATCCTAGCATACGCTGATGCTGACTTGCATATCACAGTATTGCGCAAAATGCATCATGCTCGCCGCTGCTACGAATGCCCCTCGAGATTCGCAACAAGATCTGGAAAATTGTGCTAGGAGATCGGCTCATACATCTCGAATATCCTGGTGTCAGGCGCGTTCGCAAGGTGGAAGAGAAAATGCGGAGCTGCATACACGTCGTCTGTAAACACGATTGCCCGGAGCATGAAATGACCGACAAAGAGATCGACTGGCGAATGCCGCATCAAAGCTGCAACCTCGACCTTTCGCATAAACGGGGATACCGTGACACCCAAGTCCGTAATAACATCCTTGTCCGCGAACAACCGGATCCTCCCGAGTCAGTACATCTGACAGTCCTGCGAGTCTGTCGACAGATATACAATGAAGCGAATGATGTGCTATGGTCGACGAATACTTTCTCCTTCAGTGAAGCCGACCCCACCTTCGTTGATTTCATGGAATCGAGGACGACCCATCAAAAACAGACGTTGAGAAAACTTCGACTGCAGATGGACTGGGTTTATGAGGACGAAAAAGGCTGGAATCGCATCTTAGGCGTGAAGCGTCTCAGATCCTTGACTGGGATTAGGAGTCTACGTCTGCAGATCAACCATTCGATGGAGGCCGCGCTATATCATGAGGCGAAAGTTCGGGGGGGTCGAGCTCGCCTTTTTTCAACCTCATCAACACGAGTTCGTGCTCAAATTGGCCACATTGCCGCTGACCGACGTCGAAGTCTTCGTCAGCGACTTTCCCATCGTCATCAGCGACTATCCTTTCTCGGACAGCGACGTCGATGAGCCGCGTGGCTTATGGACAGCCGGAGATAGAACGGAGTATGCAGATGAAATCCGGAAGATACTGCTCGATCCAAAGTCAGCGGAAAAACATGCTCAGTTCCAGGAAATCTTGCAGAAATGCCGTCAAGTAGTCAGAGACGTAAGGAAGGAACAGAAGGCTTCCCGAGATGCGGAGTTCGCCGAAAGTGGCGCTGAAGCTCAAGAGTACCTACGTATCCATGCCCCGAATTATTGGATGACTCGAGACCGTGAAGACTGAGAGTGCTTGGATCTACTTACATTGATTTTCTCTTTTCTTCGAACAATGGGGTCTTGTATCTTTACAAAAGTAGTGACTGTTAGAACAGGAGGTAGAATACTTAGTTGCATTAATTTAGATGTGCTATGAGAGGAAAATACGATCTATCTAGTCGGGGTCACTAGTTGGGGTCACGCGACTCCTAGATTCTAATAGTGACGACAAGGTAAGACAAGATAAGAGGCGGTGATAAGCTGACTTGTTTCGTGATCTAGCGCGAGTTTCTGTCTAAAAATTAGTATGCTTATGAGGATCGAATTTATTGTTTTGTACTGACGGTATCTATCACCCTTTGATTGGCTTCGCAAAAATCTATTTTACTGGCTAGCATCTATGATAGATGTTTTAGAAAAGCAGTTTGATCTAGCTACTTTCGTTGCGGGAAATAGATTGGTTGATACTGCGCTTATCAGGGTCGAGACGAATAAAAGTTCAAGTCCCAGCGCAAATACATTGTCATCGGTCTTTAGCAAAACCCTTGCGTCTGACACGAGGTCTTTTACTATCTTGACTTGTGGACCTCGAGCTCATAGTCGTAGAGAGCATCAAGCTCCGACTTGTAAAGACTGACCGTTCCCCTTCGCTGTATGGTACCCTTTCCGGCCCGAAGCATCGGCCTGTCAGCAGAGGTGAAAAGCACTAGGTCTCTCGATACTCTCCCATGAGCGAAGTATAGCTTGTTAGCACGCTCGATGGTAGGCCAGATCTCTTCAAGCAACCTTTCTCTATCCTCTGACGATATGAGAGCACTCTTTGCTTCAATCAGAAGCGAGGACCGTCGGCGACCCTGTCCGACCAACAACACAGAGCACACATCAGGGTGCGTGCCAACGGTTTCCTCCACCATCATCGGATTGAGCTTCTCCCCGGTTGAGAACACAATCAAGTCATCAGACCTTCCTCGGTAGCGCCACAGGCCGACCTTCGCTGGATGCTTAGAATAGAGGTCTTTCGTGTTGTGTTCTTGAAGCTTTGGAAAGGTAAAGAAGACAGACTGGGAGGCTTCAAATTTCGGGTTTCGTACTATAAACAATTCGTACAAGTCGTCCCAGAGATGGCGGAATTCTCCACCCATACAAGGACTGAAGCCGAAATATTGCCAATCGCTGCTGTCGGCGACTTCTGTCGGAAGCAGCATAGTCTCGGTGGAACCCATGAGGCAAACCACAGATGTTGCTTGGGCCAGTTGATCTCCAGCTTTCTTCGAGAGAGGCCCACCGCCATACATGACGCAGTCTAACGTGTTGAGCTTGTCATGATATGTTGGTGTCCTCAACAAATCTTCGATGATCGACGGGGGGATGCATGTTACCTTGACATCCCCAGGCACGTGCAAGTCATTCGCCATCTCCGCATTCAAGGTTGCAAGTGGACCCAGGACTGGAATGACATCGAAATAGGTTGTCATTCCTAGCATCATGAACAATCCAGCAGCGTGAAATGGTGGAAGTCCTATAAATACGCGCTTATCCCTGAGCACCTCCACCATCGTCGAAGCATGGCCTAGTGAGGGCATAGTTTGATATGTATCACTCGCGGCGAACGTACCGTGGGAGGTAACCACGAGTTTAGGCAGCCCAGTCGAGCCAGACGTATGGAGTGCAACGAAAGGATCATACTGGGCTTGACGGAAGGATTTGGCATATGGGTAGTGGGGCACAATTGTCGGGTCCAAGCAGTGGTCCAAGCTGAGCATGGTAATCCGATGCATGTTCCGATGCGTGAATGTGTCTTCAAAGTGCGGAGGAATGACTGAAGCGGTGATGAACTTCGTGCACTGAGCACTTTCCAGAAGATGTAGGTCAGCTTCAAGGCCATTCCGAGGGGAAGGAAAATAAGCCTGGTCTCCTTGTTAGATAGGATTTGAGCCGAGCTGGGTCCATCACCTTGAAGCCGGCTTTTTGTGCGGCGATTGTTAAGATCGTATAGCGAAGGTCGAATGGGCCAATGTACCCCAGAGTCTCCATATTCTCATCTTTCTTGGTATTCTTGCCGATCCACCATGCGACACGATTGATAGCATTGGCAAGCTGGCCGTAAGTCACTGTTTTGAATCCATCCTTGACCGAGTTTGGGATAGCAAGAGAAAGAACGACCTCGACTCATGAGCAACATGATCGATCAGATGAAGTATAAGTCGAGAGCCGTATTTGTGCTCCAAAGGGATGTCTGAAGGCATTATTATTTTGTGATAGTGAGGACTCTGAGATATGAGAGCGCAGTACAATGTTGGAGGCGCGAAGGTGGTATACAGCACAGCGTATAATTTCGAGGAGTCGGACTGAGCACATGCCAACTCATATCAAGGCTGAGACTTCGCGTCAGCTCGTCAGGAGCATGCCATAACGGTGATCGTCGATTGGCTCTAGCCGTACGAAGGCCAGGTGATAGGATGACATAAAGTGCAAACTTTTTCGGGGTAAGTTGCAAGCGGTTCCAATTTTGATAAAGTGGGAGCTCAATGCGAGACTGGGCCACGCAGCTGAGATGCCTTGTAAGTAATTCAATTGGAAGGCGTATCGAGGGCCAAAATCCCAGCATCATTTCAGCACGTCTTGCACATCTCTAGCTCGTATTTCAACCTACACAATACAATGAAACATCAATTTCTTGAGTGTGTGTCGGTTAAAATGCCAAATAGCGGTTGAATTATGACCAGAAAAAATCTTGCAGGGCAAGAGAGTGTGACACCAGATGCCTAAGTTTTACGGACAGACGGTCACTTGTTCCAGCCATTCACTCTCGGGTCTATCTTCGTGCCCACTTTAGACTACACTCAACCCCACAGCCTTATTATCACGCACGTTTACCCACTATTAGCTTTCAGCCGACTTGCGACAAAGTTCCGATTGGCTAAAACGAAGGGCTGAAAAGCACGACACTTCTTCCAAGCCTAGGATTATGCAGTCAGCTCTACGCATTCCGATCTACAGTGCTTCAAATCCGACGGCACCTAGAATGGCAGGTAGCATCATAAAATTTTAGACTCGATGCCATGTTCGTATCATGCATCCAACTCTTGAAGAAGCCGCCAACATAATCTCTCAATTTCATACTCGACACATTCTGCCATGGGTTTTGCATAAATTTTCACACATTTTTCCATGGGTTTTTACAGCCTTGCATGCCATAAACAGCTGTTTTTGAAAGGCTATCGTTCTAAATCAAGTTTCTAGCGTCAGAGTTTCTTCGATCACCATTTAGCGTATTCAAAAACGTCTGGAATGCTTGGCACTGGAGATCTTTCACACCCCACACCCAAATTCGAACTGTAGCATAGAAATCTCTCCGTAAAAAAATCATTTAATAACACTGCTATCGTTAGTATAGGTCTCAGATAAGAAAAAAAGTTAAGTTATACTAAAGTCTTAATATATTCCTTAGTCTCTTAATCGCTATATCTATTTCTCTTAATACTTCTACTTAAACGAAGACTAAGTATCTTCTTTATTTCTATTAGAAAAAAAAAAAAAAAAAAAAAAAATATTTTTTTTAAAAAAAAAAAAAAAATAATTATATAAAAAAATAATAAAAAATAATTTTTTTAAAAAAAAAAAAAAAAAAAAAAAATATAAAAATATAAAATTTAATAAAATAAAAAAATAAAAAAAATAAAAAAAATTATATAATTTTTTTTTTTTTTAAATTAAAAATTTTATAAAAAAATTATAATTTTTATTTTTTTTTTTTTATTTAAAATTAAATAAAATTTAGGTTAAAAAGATTTTTTAATTTTTCTATTCTATTATAAAACTTATATTTATATTTATTCTATATAAATAGTATTCTCTTTATTAATATATATAATAGAATAAGATAGGGCTAAGCTATAAAATCTTAAACTTATATATATATTTAATTATTAATTTAGAGTTATTACGCTCTTTAGTTAGATCGACTAAGTTAACTCGCTAGTTCTTTTATATCTTCTTATTAAAAATTTATATATAGAAGTCTTATACTTTAAAATACTTAGCTTACGATAGATATAGTTACTTTATAATTTCGTAAATTATAAAGCTTAGTATACGCTTTCTAACGTTATAAAAATAATAAAGTTTAGCTTACTATTAATAGATTAAATAGATATTTAAATATAATAGTTATATTAAACGCGTTCGAAATCGAATAATAATTCTTTTATCTATTTATATAATTATTATTCTTTTATTATTCTATTAATTCTATTAATTCTATTAATATAAATATAATTATTCTCGATACCTCTCGCGAAAACGTTATTAAACGCTTTAGATATATATACTTCTTTTACTCGTCTTTTAAAGCCTCTACTAACGCTCTTAATTAGACTATATCTCGACGAATTCGCTATTATTAGTAACCGAGGCTATAAGCGAGCTTAATAGTTATCTATTATTACTTATAAACGCGTTAAAAGATTAAAAAGAGTCTAAATAGATTTACGAGTATCGTCTTTCTCTATATACTCTTAAGTTAATAATATTTAACTAGTCGCTTAATTAATACTATCTATTTTATTAGCTTAATAATTTACTTAGTTAGATCGTTAACTAGTTACTTAATTATTTACTTAATTAGTTATTTAACTAGTTACTTAATTTAATACTCTATAAGAGAAGAAGTAAGAGAAGAAATTATAATAGATAAATATAAAGAATATTACGAAGAAATTAAGCGATAATAAGATTATTATTATTAAGAATACGGCTTAGCTCTTTAAGATTTCACGTTATATTAGTTATTTACTTAGTTAATTATTTAATTAATTATTTAATCTAATACTCTATAAAAGAAGAAGTAAGAGAAGGAATTATAATAAATAAATATAAAGAATACTACGGAGAAACTAAGCGATAATAAGATTCTTAGTATTAAGAATACGGCTTAACTCTTTAAGATTCTATATTATATACTCTCTACGATTTTATATTAAATTATTACTTAGTAAGTAAAGAATACTACTATAACTTAGTCTATTATTCTTATTATATTAAGAAGTAAGAGAAGAAACTATAATAGATAAATGCGAAGAATACTATAAAGAATATTATAGAGAATATTACGAAGAAACTAAGCGGTAATAAGACTCTTAATACTAAGAATACGACTTAGCTCTTTAAGATTCTACGTTATATACTCTCTATAATTCTATATTAAATTATTACTTAATAAGCGAAGAATACTACTATAACTTAATCTATTATTCTTATTATATTAATATAATATATTATTATAATAACGTTATAAGAGAAGTCTTTACTACGATAATTATAGCTAATTAGATCTCTATAGAAGAAATATCGAATAATATATATTTAAACGAATTAAAATCGTCTAATATCTTACTTTAATAGCTATTTTATTATTCGAAAAATTTTACTACGATAGAAGATATTATAGAATTTATATTACTAATTAACACGTTATCTTTATTTCTTTTCGATATTTCGATACTTCTTATTATAAGAATATAGCCTTTCTCTATTTTTTATAAATAATTATTACGAATTAATTTTTTATACTTAATATATCTTTCTAATTAGATTTTAGCGCGTCTCTCTTTATATATATATATATATATATTATATAGATTAAATTAATTTTATAATAGTAAAAGTAAGTTAAAAACGTATAGTAAGTAATTAGAGTTCGATTTAACTTAGAGCTAGGGCTAAAATTCGATTTAACTTAAAAGAATTTAACTTTATAAATTTAATTTATAGATCTTTACTTATTAGTATATATAAAAGAATAAGATAGAGCTAAACTAGAAAATCTTAAATTTGTATATATAGTTAATTATAAATTCGTTAGATCTACGCTTTTTAATTAAACACCGCGGGTAAATAAATTAGCGTCTATAATTATTAAAAAAATAGATATATATTATTAACACATAGAATAACTTTTTTGTTTTCTATTAAAATTTTGAGATTTCTTTTTTAAATTTTAAAGCGCTATTTGTGCTTTTCGAATTTTTAAGAATTTTGAAATTTAATCTTATAATTATTAAAGCGTAAGGAATTCAAATATCGCTTATCAAAGTTCGCTCATCAAAGATCGCGGACAGCCGGAGTGGGACAGCCCTGATTAAAAAACAGGTATACATTATTTAATTTTAGAATAACTTTTTCGTTTTCTATTAAAATTTTAAGATTTTTTTTTTAAAAAAGATAGAACGAAATGTGGGCTTTTAGATAAAAAAAGAATTACTAAATTAAGTCTTATGAATATTTAAAGGTAACGAATTTAAATATCGTCTATTAAAAGTTCGCTTATTAAATTTACTCGACAGCCCTAATTAAAAAAAATGATTATGAATTTAATTCATAGGCCTTTACTCGTATTATAATAAAAAGTTAATATATATATTATTAAGTCTTTAATATAATATTATTTATCTTTCTTTTAAAATAATAGCGATTTATTTATTAATTATATTAAATATATAATTAAAAAGAAAGTATATTATTAAGAAGTTAATACTTATAGCTAAAGAAGCTTACGATTTAAAGAATTATTTAAAAAAAGATTATTTATATAAAGACTAATGAAATTAGATTAAAAAAAAACTAAAAAAAAATCTTTAATATATTAAAAGAAATAGATTCTAGATTAAATCTTTTTTATATTTTTACTAGCTTAATATTAGCTATAAATCTCTTAATTCTAAATTTAAATAATATTTAAAATTAAAGAATATTTAAAATTAAATAATTATAAGTAAATTATAAATATATTATTATTTAAAAGAATTTAAAAACTTTAATTAGATAATCTTAAATATTAAAGAAGCTAGATTATTTATATAATATAAAAGAAAATATTTTATTTTTAGAAGATATATTATCGAAGTATAATTTATAAATATTATCGAAAAAGAGTTAATTATAATCTTTATCTTTATTATTAATTTATAAGATTTTATAAAAAATATTATTAAAACTTCTAATATTTAATATAATAAATTAAATTTTTTAATAAAAAGCTTTTAAACTATTAGCTATAATATTAAAATACTTTAATATTAAAATAAAGAATTTAATTAGAATATCGTTTAAATAAAAATAAAAATATTAATAATTATTACTTAACTAAATAATATTAATAGTTAATTATTTTATAAATAGAAAATTAATAAGAGATATTAAGATTTATATAATAGATATTATATTAATATTATAAAACTTATAAAAAAAAAAAATTTAAAAAAAATTTAAAATATAAAAAGTAATAATTTTATATATTAGCTAATTTTAAAAATTTCGATAAAAAGATATAGAGATTATATCTTATTAGTCGAGTATTTCTCTTAATAATATCTATTAAAACTTATATTATATTTTTATAATAAATCGCGTAAAGAATATAAAATTAAATAAATGAAATTTAGATTTTTTAAATTTTTATAATATTAATAATTAAAAGTAAAATAGCTAATATTAATATCTTAAAGCGAAATTTAGATAAAGTATTATAATCTTCTTTATTAAATTTAAGAAAATTGATTATATATAAAATTATTATAAAATTATTATAAAACGAGTAAAGGCTTATAAATT